TCATTGAAGGTACTCTCTCTGCTACATATTCCTATTAGCAAGCCACATGGAGCTACACTGATGGAGCCAGAGGCCTGGAGCTGGAGGCGCCTTGTGGAGCCCCACATTAGCACTGAGATGTTTCCATTGCCCCTGGAGCCACAAGACTTTCCACCCATTGACCTGTGATCTTCCTGTATTTGGCATCACTGCAAATGTTGTGTGACTCTGAAGAGAAATTTATAGACTGTATCAGACATATGGGCTAATATTGGACTTATGGACTTGATCGGGACTAAGCTTGGATGTTTCCTTAATATACAAGTACTCTCTATGTAAAGCTCTTTCTTTTTTTCCCCCCAAGTTTTATTTATTTATTTATTTATTAGTTTTGATTTAATAAATATAACATATCATTCCATATTTCAATCACATCAAGTAGAATTGTACAATTGCTACCACAATCAGTTTCAAAATATTTTTTCTACATGGAATCCTTGACATTGTCTCCCTTTTACACTCCACACCCCCGCCCCGCAACTGTACCCTCCTAACCCCTTATTCTACTTGCTGTCCCTATAGATCCATCTTATACACATGAGGGTCTATGAATCCATTTCTCTAGTCAAGCCAGACCAATACACCTGCACAGAGAATTCCCACAATAAACCTGTGTTAAACGAATGTTTACTTCAGTCCGGCTGCTCCCAGTAACATGCCGTCCACACTACTTGCTCTCACTTAATTGCTTTCTTTGTGCTTTTCCTTTTTCAGATCAATTTGTACACTATTCAACGTTTTTCAAATTACTGACCAAAAACTCAGGCTGCAGAGAGTTAGATTCTAACCTTGTGTCAATCATCTCAGAAAATCATTTTTGCTGCAATGATTAGAGTTTCTTAACAGCTCGTCAAACAGACAAAAGGGATTTAGAGCGGTGGTTCATATATAGCCTACTAAGCAATCCTGTTCACCAATGAATGAGGACAACCAGTCTCTTACAACATAGCATCGTCTAGAAGCCCAGCAGACCTCCCGCCACCTTTCAATGGACCTAGGGTCCAAGGTCATTATCAGATGTCTAATGTGGGCCATGATAGAACCACCAATAAGTGAAGAGATAAAGAGAAGTGGACTTTATATTGGTACTTTAAAATGTCAAATTTTGTTTTAAGTGTATGTTTTGTTCGGGTACATGTAGATTTGTACCTGATAGGTGGAAAGAACAAGGTTTACAGGATTGGAGTGCTCAATAGGAAATTTGATCAGAAGAAAGAAAAGGTTAAGAAAAATACAGCCAATTGCAGAGTTGGTTATTTTTAATTTGCCAATTAAAAAAGATAACCATAGGTTTTAAGCTAGCCACTATAGAGTAAACTTGATCCAATTTCTTCTCAAGTATTACCAGTCTCCTAAACTAGAAATACACTGTTTTGCCTCAAATCTTCCCTCAACTTCCACCATCAGTCATGAAGACCATTAAATGTTGTTAGCTGTTGTTCAGTCAGCTGCCAAATCATGAGTCCTTTTTTGTGACTCCTAGGTTAACGTCTCCCTTTGACTAATCCTGATTCTCTTGCTTCCAGAAAATATTCACGCATATACCTCCTGCACATGAACCCACATTCCCTATGAAGCCGAGTCCTGCGAGCTGTGTCCGGTTCAGCATCATAGCAACACGCAGTTAATCACTGACATACACAGGGGGTACATTAGCAAGGAATTGAACCCCGTGCCCCATAGAGAAGGCAAGATTTCTATCAGACTTATCACTGCTTCTCAAGACCTTTGAATACTGCCTATAAAACGTCTCTTAAGTTGAGTTGTTCTCTATACTATTGTTATCGGTTCCTTATTGAAATGATCTCCCAAATATTATACCTGCCAGCACTCTATCTGGAAGAATCCATCTCTGCTTGCCATCAAACTTTGCTCTTATCTAAATTCCTTGGCACAATGTTAAAGGAATTCATATGAGCTCAACTCACTCCATAGTCTCATCGTTTGTCAACTCTCTTACAATACACACTCTTGTGCTCTAGGCACAGTTAGGAGAGGGTTGGCTGTGTGGGTGTGAAACTCAATGGAGCAATCTAGAACAATTAAAAAGTCAGTACTTATTTATTCCTTATTGTCTATATAGCGACTACTGTGGTTTGCCATACAGATTGCCCATTCATCCAGCTGCAGGCAGTGCTGGTTCACCACCAAATCTCTCTCCAGAAATTTCTACCTCAGCCAAAAGATCTACTTCACCTAAATTTGTGTTCCCTCCCCACAGACAGCCTATGTCCAGTGACTGGCTGATGCAGACAAAGGTCCAGGCCCCTTGCCTTGACAGAGGACAGCTCTGAAGGCCACTTCAACTCCAGAGCTTCCGGGGGAATAGACTGAGTCCTTTGTGGTGACTCATTTGAGACCCTTGTCGCCCTTTGGCTAATCCTGATTCCTTGGCTTCCAGGAAACACTCACCTGTAACCCTCCCGCACAGAAATCTCAGGATCTATTTCCAGACAACACAGACTGAAACAGTTGTATTCTTTAAATTGTCCTTGAACTAGGACAGAGTTATAAACAGAGATGAGGGAGCTGTTCATTCTTTAAGAGCAGTACAGGCTTCATTGGGAAAATGTACCCTATCTACTCTACAGTCCGGAGCTGGCCTCTACAAACTTATTTTTATGCCCTAAACTCAAAGAACATTGAAAAGGTACACAATTTGAGTGCCTCAATGATGCCCACTGCCATTGTGTTGTGGGAAAAATCCAAGAGTGCAGATTTCTTCAGAAAAAGGTTTGAGAGATAGAAATAACATCTTCAGAAGTGTAGATACCTAGATAGAGACTATGGTAAGACACAATAGCTTCACATTCTGATATTTCTTTACATCTATGTTTAATAATAGTTTTGGACTTTCAGTTAATGTAAAGTATCATAAATAGTGCCTCACAGAAAAGAGGTACTCAAGTTAATCAGGGTAACAAATAAACCTTAAAATTGTCCAAAGCTCAAAACATGACAGGCATTTATTCCTCACTAAAATAATAGTCCCAAGTATTCCTGGTTCATGGGAGCAACTTTTCTCTACATGGCTTTACAAGGACCCTGGATAATGAAGGCCCAGTTCTCCTCAGTACAAGACTTCACCATCCCAAGTAGCCAAGAAAGGTGAAGAACACAGACCAGGCTGTGCATATTCTACTGTCTAGAATTCAATCATATGCCCATGTCCTAACTGCAGAGGAGATTGGACACTGTAGCCCAAAGTATGGATGGATTTTAATGAAGAGCTATCTGCTCCACAATCCTTGCCACATTAAAATCATTAGTATAATTCTGATAATTGCCAGCTTTCTAATTTGGACTCTCACCTCCACTCACCTAGAATACTGCAATAGCCTCCTCACTGGTCTCCCTGACACTGGACTGTTCTGCCAAGCCAAACCATTTCTCCATACCCAACCCAGGGTTACTCCTCCAAAACCCAACTCTGCTGTATTATCATCATTCCCTAAGTACCAGCATAGCATTCTTCTATGATTCTCCACTGCTTCAGGGTTGAGTCAAAGGCCCTGGGCTCGGTTGGCTCATCCCTCCATGATCAGTCCCTCATGCCCTGCAGTCTCACCTCCAATCGCTCTGCCCTGCAACTGATGCTTGTGATGTGGCCACCAATTGACATCTACAACTGGACACCTACATTGTGTGCACGGGAAGTGCCTGACTGGTGAAACAGTTATCAGGCTTGGCTACTAAACAAAGGGTTGGAAATATCTTCACCCAGGTCGATCTCAGAAAAAAATATCTGTCTATCTACAGCCTCCTGAGATGTATCCATTAACAATCACATGGTAAGCAGGGCATCCTGGGTTGATGTACCCATGGTGGCCCCAAGCCTTTCTGCCTGTGTCTGTTTCCTGCCCATGGTCTTCACAAAACTTTCTTGGGCCACCACGCTGGCAGCAGCGGCCTGACCACTAAACACCTCCCTATTCCCCTCTGGTATCCATATGAGACCCAGTGCCCTGCAGTCAGTCCCGATGCTCATGCAGGTTCCTGGCAGTTACACAGCTGTGCCACCTGCATAGCCGCCATGCACCACCATTGACGTTAGAAGAGATCAAGAACCGGCTTCTTTAAGTCTTGAAGTTCTATGATAAGATTGACCCCAATAGCTTTCCATCAATTCCCATTATATGAAGGACGTGGGCTTAGACAGTTTGGACCAAGAGGAGGATATCATGGCCACGGAGGGCAAATTTGGGTTTAAAACTCATTCCTGAGAGAGATGAGGAAAAGTCAACACATCCACAAGAAAGTATAGCTTTCACTGCAGATCAGCAGGCTGTATATGAATAATCTAATAGCAGACCATCTTCCTTCCTTGAGGGAGGCCTCAGATGACTCTGGTGTGTGTCTAGATGTAAGGCGGCATATTGCCATCATTGCTGACCTAGACCGAGTAATTCTATTGGACTTATAGTTGAATTGTCTTAAGTGTTTTGCACTTTGAAAATAAATCTATAAAATTAATATTCCCCCCTACCCCCTACCCCCCAAAATATAACCTCATGGGAGAGTAGAATCTCACAAGGTACTTTTTTGGGAGAGAGAGAGAGTAGGAGAGAAGTGAAGTTCAAGAATAGGCCATAAGAGAATGATGAAAATGAACAAATGCACAGTTTCAAGACCAGGGATGGTCAGTAGAGCTGAAATCATCACCGAGAACCAGCCAGCCAGAAGTAAATGGGCTGGCAGGGAGTCACCAATGGCCTTTGATAGAGCCGTTGGGGCGGAAACGATGAGGCAGAACCCAGCTTGCCCTGCTTTGACATCCAGAGGTAATGGAGGTGAAGGTGGGTGGAGAGAGACAAGATTCTCTCTCTGGTGGCCCCTGAGCTTAGAGACTGCCTGTCTGAAGTGTTTGTCAAACAAAGGAGTGGATAAAAAAGTGAATCACTTTATTTTCTGTAAGTGAGTAGATAGAATATAGCATCTACATTGTGACTGAGGTTACGGGATAAAAAATGATCAACCAAACACTTTTTCATCATCCTTGCGCAGGGGCCATGCTAATCTTCTCTGTATCTTTCCCATTTTAGTCTATGTGCTGCTGAGGCAAGCACCGGACACTCTTTTCAACAGCATAGCTTGTACAAACTTATTTCACCAGCTGAAATCAATGTGCTGAGCAATACATGCTCATAGTTTAGTCCTGTAACTACAAACAAAAACAAAGGCAAACTGAAAAAGAGCCGGTGGAGCATTTTACTGTGGCCAGAACACTCACTAGCAGTTGCTGCAGTCTGCAATTAGGCTGAACCCCGTGTACACAGTGAAGGGAGCTGAGAGGAGCCCTGCCTTCACAAAGCTTACACTTTAGTGAGGTAGCCAAAAAACAAGAAAACTCTTGACTACCATGGTTCTCACATACAATGTGACCAAGGACACACCAAATAATGTGCAGTGTGTGCACAGGAATCTAACTTGGAAAGGGGCTGCCCAGTTTGCAAAGACTAGAAAGTGTGGGTTCCATTTGCATACAGTTTGTACATCATATTAAGTAGTAAGGAGTCTGGTAAGAAGAACAAAGGATTGAAAGTGATAAGGACTGGTAACTGAAATAAAAAGAGACATGGGCAACACTTAGAATGTTATTGGCAAGTAATAGCCATTCCACTGGCAAGATACACTGGGCTTGATCCTCAATGTGATCAAACACTCCCAACTGACTATACCTTGAAAAACTGAGTTCTTATCTTTGATACATACTAGCCTTCCTTTGATCTTCATTCATGACTGCTATTTTGGGAAAATAATAGAGTCATAAAGATTGCCAAATGTGCTATTTGTGTGGGATGTTGAAAGAATACTATGATTTATTATTGCCCCATTCAAAGGAGTGAGAGTACCAAGCATTCCACTTTTTCCTACTGTCTTCTTTGTGGTACATCCACCTTGCTCATATAATGAGAATCACGGTGGTGGACAGTTCTGGGCTATCAAGTTCAGCTGTCAAGTTCAGCTCTGGATTGTCCAGTTCGACCTTTGCCGAACCATTCACTCATGCATTCATGTGTTTTAACTGATCCCCTACCATATTTCTGACCCATGCCAGGATATTTTCAATCATCTTATATATATGTGAAAGTTGGACACTGAATAAGAAAGATCAAAGAAGAATCGGTGTATTTGAATTATAGTGCTGCTAAAGAATATTTAAAGTACTATGAACTTCCAAAAGAACAAACAGATTGTTTTAAAAGAAATACAACCAGAAAAAGAAAGAAATACAACCAGAATGGTCCTTAGAGGCAAAGAGGGTGAGCCATCGTCTCACATACTTTGGACATCCTGTCAGGAGAGACCAGCCCCTGGAGGAGAACATCGTGCTTGGTCAAGTGGAGGAGCAGCGGAAAAGAGGAAGGGCCTCATTAAGAAGATGGACACAGAGGCTTCCACAACGGGCTCAAGCATAAGAACAATTGTGAGGCTGGCACAGGATCTGTCAGTGTTTTGTTCCGCTGGAAACAGGGTTGCTATCGGTCAGAACCGACTCGACGGTAGTTAACAACAACAACGATTATTTTCCAGGCTAGTGAACAAGACAGGTAAATCCTTACCCTCATCCTGGGGGCTGATACAGTTAATAAGCAGATACATAACAGAGACTAACAGGTCTGACGACGGACGTGAGCAGCGAGATGAGATGTGGGGTAACTGAGGAGAATGCTGTAGACTGCGCAGTCAAAAAGGGCCTCTCTGAAGAGTTGACTCTGACCTGAGTCCCCAAAGGTAAATGACTGAGGGGACAGCAGAGATTCCGGGTGACTCCTTAAGTACTGCCAGCAAACCGGAGCAAAGCGAATAGATGTAAGAGATCACGCAAAAAAGCCACTGCTTCCAATGAGTCTCAAGGACACAAGTAGACATTCTGGGATAGTTGCATTTACAGTTATTTTACCACCATAGATATTGATAGCCAGCCTAGTCTCAGTGGTAAATTGTTCAGTCACTGTAAGCATGGGCTTATGGCAAGGGGTCAGGATTTTATCCTCGGAAAAATGGGAAGAAGTCACTAAAAAATCAACAGGGTAGAAGAATATGTTCTGATTTTTGTTCACTATCATCAGAAAACAGAGGTGAGTCAATTCAGTAAGTAAAATATGCCTACATTTGGAGCACTGGTTTTTCTAAAATATAAGAAATCAAGATAAAAGTAAACCTTGTGCCTTAAAATACAGGAGGAGAAAACAACGGGACTGACAGTTCCGGGGG